AGCCACCGAACTGAGAGATCAAATGCTGCGCCATGTGCCAACCGCATAAAAGATGAATCGATTTCGGAAAGATAGCATGTGTATAAAAACTGCTCAAAATCGATGCTTTACCGGGTTCCGATCAGCAGTTTGTGGCTGCTCAAAGGAAGAATTTTAGTTGTGATGATGCAAAATTAAAGGATCACGGTTACAGATAAAGGAAAGATGAAAAGAACCCTTTTAGGTGACCCACTTTTCCGAGGTAACCCTCTTATAGTTACGGTTACGGTTACAACAATTGTTAGCCCCGAGAAGATCAAGGAACGCTATAACTGACTTCGTCGATGGGACGAAACTGACATGGAACAACCAATTATATAATTACTTGTCGACAAGCATACCAAAAACATGTGCTTGCGTGGAGAGCCACTATTTTCGAAATTCAAACAGGTATAGGAAAGCAAAGAATAGGTAAAAATGCCAATTGAGACACGATATGCGACATCAATTTCAGTGATGAAGCAACCACACACAGCGGTATCTTGTTGACCAAGGATCTTGGCAGCGGCTCCTTCTTCTAACACATGTGTTAATAATGAAATTATATATATATATATATATATATATATATATACCAGTGGTTGTGTGTTTTTACACCATTGTATCCATTTGCAGCATCCATCCTATTTCTCTCTGCACGGTTTATCTTTAGACGCAGGAAGTTGGCATCTGTACTACCATGGTCGCTTAGCAAATCCGGAAGGACATGTTCGCAAAGGATATAAGCAAGAACATCTACACGTTGACGACGCAAGCTTGTCTAGTAAGCCTCTTTTCAACATCCTATGTCAACTATCTATATATTGCTTGTGTTACGTGGTGATGTTGCTTTTGATATTGAGTGAGTGTTCTGGGTAACGAAAAAGTCGGTCAGACAGACAATAATGATCACCGCCGCCATCTTCACTGCGAAATTATTCGGAAACCTGATTCATTCATGCAGTTTTACAGATTGACAGTTTCGGCAATGATTTGTGCCTTGACTGCTCCTGTTACTCACTCTAGTATGTTAGAATAGTACATAAACAAAGTATCTCGATATTTACTCCTGTACTTTACACAGAGGAACATATAAACGACCTCATGGCAGCGGTCCGCACCGCAATATTAGTACCTTCCTTCTGGCATGAAGCTGTGTTGGATTAACATTTTCTCCTATATAATTTGCTGCTACAGAAGCTGGCCCTGAACCTAAATCATATTTTGCAGCTCTATACTAGTTGTAAGTTGAAAGAGCCCAAAGAGCAATTTCTTAGAAGTTAGGAAAGGATGTACAGCAACGCAGGCATATCGTATATAGCGAATGAATGGGTGGTCTCGCTTGATGATGATTTATTAGGTCTTGGAGAGCAGAGAAATATATCTGCAAAGGTCAGCGCAGTGTATTATGCTGCGTATGTGATTGTCTCAGACTCTAAAAGGACACGGATTATGTACTAGAAGCTGACAGAACTAGTATTAGGACATAAGATGGAGTGACGAGGACTGTACCTTGAGCATTGATACAAGTATTGGCATCTGTGTTGTCTATTCAGGGTTCAAAGCCGTTCCCTGTCATACCTCTTTTTTTTTTCTTGGGGCGTGATTTCATTCAAAGACCGTTTCTTTCTTTCTTTAATAATACATACCCTCTTTTTTGGAGCACAGTTTCTTAACATAAGAGCTTCATGTTTACAGCTCACTGTAAGTTGTAAAAAGAAGAGATATAAAGCAAGCATCCTTAGTTTCAAAGAAGTAATCTCTCACACTCCAAACTTATAGCAAATAAACGGCGCTCTGTGCTGGAAGAACTGAACCCACGTAAACATGCGCGCACAGCTTCCATTGTGTCGGCATCCGCTGACGATGCATCCGTTCTTTCTGAGGCCAAGGAACAAATAACTGAACTATATCATTACGGTCAAAACGCTGATCGACGAGCATCCACCATGGCTCTGGCTCGCGACGAATTGGAGAGCAAAATGAAGGATCTCAACGAATCTCACAAACGCCAAATCAAAACACTAGTTGATCGACTAGAACAACAGTCAGCACAATTGATGCGGTACCAAAGACTTGGCGATATTGATGATCTGGAGTTGGTCAATCAAGAAAGGCGCATGTCCAACACAAAATTGCAAGCGTTGAAAGAAAAGGTGGAAGAGTATGAGGACGCGTTGGACTTGGCGCGCCAACAGCGCCAGCAGGACAAGACCGAAATCACAGCTCTAGAGGATTTGCTGCGCGAACGAGATCAACAGAACGAACGGCTACAACTATTACTTGATGATATCGAAGCACGCATGGAGGAAAAAGTGGACGAGCTTCAAAAAGCGACAGGGCACGGCTCGGATTTATCAAAGCAGTTGCACAATACGACCGCAGAGCTGAACCGTATGGTCGACGAGGTTGATGCCAAAAACGAAGAGATCGAACGCATTAATCAGGAACGAGATTTGCAAGTGCAGGCATCTGAAGACCAACAAAAGCAACTACATGAAAAGATCGACGTATTACAACGAGCTGTAGAACAGGCGGAGCAAAAACTCGATCATGTTTCGCGCCAGAATGAGACGGCACTATCAATTGAACGGCAACTCAAAAAGCAGTACAACATTCTGCAGGATACCATGGAATCCAAAGAGCAGGAAATTAGCCGACTGCAACAAATAGAAAAAGATTTTGAAAACGAACTCGAGGAGCAACGACATAAAGCCAGCTCATCCAAGGTCGACATCCAACGCATCGAAGACAAATACCGCTCCGAACTGGAACTCGCACAACAAAAGGAGCAGGATCTTCAGAGGACAGTCGATCAGCTGGAGAGCAAAGTTGCTATAAAGGAGAAAGAAGTGTCAGACTTGGAGCAGATGTTCCAAGACGAGCTTACCGACGCCATAAGACAAAAGGACCAACTGGAGGAACAAACTGCCCAGCTCAAAAACGTCGAGGAGGAACTCAAAGTAAAGGTCGATGCAATGGTTCAAGAGAACAGCGACCTCGAATTTAATTTGCGCCAAGCCGAAGATGTCCGCGATGAGCTGCAAGAAAAAGTTAACGAGTTGACCAACGATGCATCCAGGGACCAAGAAGAGATCGAGACACTGCGTATACGGGAGAAGGAATTGAGTGACGAACTTGTTGCTGCCCAGGCAAGCTCTGTATCTAAGGAACGTCTTGAGATTTCATTCAAGAAAGAAATGGATGCGGCTCGGGCCAAGGAGGAAAAGCTTGCGGACGAGATTCGACAACTGAAAGCTTCCATCAAGGAGAAGGATGCGTGCCTGCACAAATTTGAAGAGCTTTCAGCGATGCTAGAGGACTCAACCTCGCATTTGCAGAGTCTCGAACGCGCGCTGCGAGAACGCAAGGCACAGGTCCAAAAACTAGAACAATCCAACAACATTCTAAGTCAGCGGTACGCGGAAGCGCAAAACGATTTAGCAGCGACGTCGGAACGATTGGCCAAGTCGGAAAAGCAGGTCGACCAGATTACTAGGCAGATACAGCAAATCGAAGTCGACTACAGTACTCGGGTGGGTGACCAGTCGCATGCGCTTGACAAAAGTCGCACCCGTACAAAAGAACTCGAGCGTTTGTATAGTGATGCCATGGATACCTGCGAAAAGCAAGTCGATGAAGTGAATCACTTGCGCCGCGCATTGAACAAGAGCCGTGCCCACGCAAAAGAGCTGCAACAAGTTTACGAAGAGGCCTCTAAATCGCAAGCCAAGGATCGAGAAGAGTTGGAGCGAGCTGTATCTGCACTGGATGAGGCCCGTGCTCACGCAAAGGAGCTACAACGTTTGTACGACGACGCTGCGGCTTTGCATGATCATGACGTTGCGCAAGTGGAGACACAAACGCGTGCGCTCAACCAAAGCCGTGCTCGTGTAAAAGAACTGCAAAAGATGTACGATGAAGCTGTCCGAACGCATACCCAAAACATTGACCATTTGGAAGAGCAAGCACGCGCACTAGAGCAAAGCCAGGCACAGATTAAAGAGTTGCGCCGAATGTACGACGAATCCGTGGAGCTACGAGCGCAAGATACCGAACAACTGGAGCAGCATGTGCGCGCGCTTGAAGAACAGGACAGCCAGATTCAAGAGCTCCAGCGACTCTACGACGAGGCGATGGAGCAACGAGTACAGGATGCAGAACGTGAAGAACGCATGTCGCTTCTGGAATCCACAGTGGATAACATCCAAAAGGATCTCAATAAGACGATGGCTCTGAAGAACGAGCAGGAGGCGAGGGCGGAACATCTGGAGCAGCTTTTGCAAGAGGCGACGGAACGAGCGGATTTAGCCGAACAAGATCTCGACCGAGCGCTCAAGACACTTGATTCCGAAAAAGCTCACGCTAACTCACGAGTGGACGATTATACCCGCCAACTTGGCCTAGCAACGGAAAAAATCACGGCGTTGGAGGAGGAAATCAAAAACTGGCTTGTAGAGCTGCGCGATAGCGAACGCATGTGCGTCAAAGAACAACAAGAAGTGCGACGCTTGAAGCACACAATCCAAGCATTGATGGAATATGGCAAAGAGGCATTATCACGGGAAGAAGAGCAGCTTCTGGACCAAAACCATCCGTAAGGCATGTAGCCGGCAAGGCCAAAATTCGAGGCATTCGTGTACTTTGTAAATAGCAGCAGCATTTGTATATAAAATCATGATGATTTGCCTTTGATAAGGCTGGGTGACCCTGGACTTGTGTTTACGTGGTGGTTGTCTAATATGGTATATCGGGGTATATTGCGATGGTCTCTTTGTTTCGAAGGAGTGACTCTTATTGGATGTTGAAATCATTTGTTTCTCATCTCTCTCGCGGCCTCCTTTTGTCTCTCGTCTCTTTCACTCCTTCCTCTCTTTTTCTACTGCTTTAACGAACGGTCAGAGCTGCAGGCCCAGTATTTGAATCGTCACCTTCCATTCGTGTATATTTCCACTGTACTACCTTGACTGTTGCACAAAAAAATGACAGCACCCATTGTTGACATCGAGCGCCGGCAGCTCGACCTCAGCCCGTCTGGAGATGCTGGAACAGCAGGCCAGACAGAACAGTAAGTAGTTGGTTTTGTGGGTACGGTGCACATTCATGCCACCTTTGCTAATCAACAATTAAAAAAAGGGCAGAGGCACCCCCTGATAATCAGGAGACTGGAGGTGCGGCCGCCGGTAATAGTGACCAGGTGCGTTATTGAGCCTAGTAATAGTAATTAACCGCATGCAGAAAAATTGAACTAAACGGAAAAAAATTATTTCTGTCTCGACAAAACACAAATAAAAGGCCGCTGATGCTACACCAACTCAGCAACAGGAACCAACCGCTAGCACTAACAATGACGACGCTTCATCCCAACCCACCCAGCAGCAGCCAGACCCAGCTCAATCCGACAGTAACAGCAATGATAACAGCGACAACGCTCAGCAAACACCTGCCCCTAGCCCGTCCGAGAGCGATAACAATAATCCTGTGCAACCCACGAGCAACCAAGAGACAGAGACCGCTCAACAACCGACGCCGTCTAGCAGCCAGGAGCAACCACAGCAGTCGACGAGTCAAGAGCAGCAACCAACAACTTCTGCTGATTCTTCATCAGAGACACAGTCATCTTCTGCAAACGAGACTTCGTTGTCTGCTAGTAGCATTGAATCATCCGCTTCGAACAGTAGCAGCAGCAGCACACCCACAGGTAATTTTTCATCATGCGAAGATTGCCGACGTCAGCATAAACAACGGATGAAACTCAATTGAACAAATTTACACATGTATCCAGTATCGGACAGTGCGGATTCATCGTCTGGCGATACAAATACAGGTGCCATAGCCGGCGGTGTAGTTGGCGGCGTAGTCGGCGCTGCTATCATTGTTGGTCTTTTAGCTTTTCTGTTTATCCGGCGTCGTCGTAATCGAAAAGAGCGGCGATTGCAGCAAGAACGTGATGATATTTTTAACAGTGGATACGACAATCTGGCACCTGATCACAGCGCAAGCAACAGCCACACACCGACCATGTCAGCACGTGCATTCGTTGCACCTGGCACAACAGGAGGCATGGACAGCGAACGGTATTATCAGGAACCCGAGTATTTACCACCGGCACATCATCAGTATTACCAGCAGCAAGCCATGCAGGAATATTATCCCTATGCTGAGCATGATCGTTCGACGGTTAGCGGACCGGATTACAATAACCACGAATACAACAATTACATGTCGCCCACATCGCCCACATCCGACAACAATAACACTTCGCCTGGTGACATGAACAACTATTACAACTCGGCAGCAGGTACAGGCTATGCCATTCCTGCACACCATGAAGACATGTACAATCAACACCATTTGGATAAGCCTGATGCTAAGGATGGTCAATATTAATAAAATAAACAAATCAAGCATTTGCATTATTGCATAAAATCACACACACACTTTCAGGTGGAGAAATAAGCAAAGAAATTGGAGGACGTGCGCAAGTGCAAAGTGGAGTATATATATATTTTGTTTCTGTGATAGAAAATACAGACATATACACACTATGACCGAGAAACAATTTAACGGTAACGACGGAGGGACAAGGTGTTGTTGCGCTTCCAGGTAGCACGGCGACCACTGCCACTTGTCTTGGTGAAACGGTGACCCTTGTTCTTACCACGGCTCTTCTTGCCAATGGCGGTAAGACCACGGGCTTCACGGCGCTTGTGGACGGGGTTGACGATCCAGTTGATGCGGGGGTCGCGACGGATAACCTTGTGCGAGGGATCGACAAGGATGACCTCAAAGTACTTGTAGGTGGCATCCTGGTTGATCCAGTACGAGTTAAGGACACGCAAGTTGCCGCAACGACGGCCAATTCGCTCTTCGGCGGTGGAGCGGAGCGAGCGCTGGTACTTGAGCTGGTTGACACCCTCGTGGACGGGCTTACCATAGGTGGCACCCTTGGGGACGGGTTTCTTGCGGCCACCACGACGGACACGGATACGATAGATCACGTAGCCCTGCTTGGCCTTGTAGCCCAGTCGGCGAGCCTTGTCAGGGCGCGAAGGACGCGAGGCACGGTGGATCACGTTCAACTGACGGAATTCCCAGCAGCGAACACGCAACAAGAAACGGAACACATCCGATTGCTTCTTTCTGTAGAGTTCCTCCAAATACTTGTACGCTGGATAACATATGCAACTATGTTAGATAGTCCGTAGTATAGAGTTGCAGCAGATCGCTGACTATATAAAAGAGTAATAGTGCACTTACCACCCATGGTAAATTAAACCTTCCCCAAAAAAGCAAAGAGGGAGGGAGAAAAATATAAATGTTAGTCAATGATTTCATTGTTATGCAGCCCCAATGACCGCGATAGCAAAAGCAGTGCGAATAAGTGGACAGACGAATGGCGAGATGAGGGTGCTGTACAATCGAAACAGTAAACGAATCGGGCTGTGTCGTTCTTGAAAATGCCGTCAGTGTCATTGCGTCGAGGCATTTTCGAATTGGTGCGATAATCTTTTTACATCGTGTTGGCCGGGTCGTATACTCCATCCAGATAATCGTCCATCCATTCGTCCGTACGTGCGATCCATCCATCCATCCGTCCATCCATTCGTCTTTTCGTTTGTGCTTTGTATCGATGTGGATGGCTCACCTTGTACTAATGCACTAAAAGAGGGTTTCTTAATTTTTGTGAGGCTGCCATAATAGCGGCTGATGTGCTGGCTCTCAATTTCGGGCACAGGCAACATGGGTGGGGCCGTCCTTGATTTTTTTTTTTTTTTTGGGCAGCATCAATTCGCGAAGCGAATTGATGATGCCACAGCAGCTTAGTAGAAAGCATTTGGATTATGTTGTATGATATCAATCTTTATTCTGCACATTATGACATTTACCACGACCACCGCTTCCTTTACAGCCATATTGACGACATTTACACCATAGGAAAAATGTGTGCAAAAATGTTCAAGAATGTGCGGATTTTGTGCAGTGTGCGGTTTTAGGTTCATTTTTGCACACTTTCACACACAGGGAGATTGATTAATGCAATAGAATTCGACAGTATTTCTACTATCACTTTGACTCGTTTTCAGATAAAGAGCTGCTTACACTCGATCCTAATTTTCTTTATATTTAAAAAATAAATTCAAAAAGCATCCTTTTCCTCTTTCGTCTCCCCACTCCTCTTTCTTTTTGCTTCCTCGCTCTCTCTCTTCTTTCTCTTCCCTCTTTAACCCTCAACGTCAAAATACGCGCACGCACAGCCTCTTTTTATCTCCTTCATTTTCACTAAGTATAATCAGCATTAAGTAGAATCAGAAATCATATAACGTCTTTTTTATCAAAAACAATTGAACAACTAATGCCAACGCTGTTTAGCATACCATTCCTCTTCTGTCATCATTTGTAAACCGTCGAGTTCTCTATCCTCTAGTGACACTGTTGTGCGATTATTGACATCCTCAGTTACAACATCATTGACATCGTTGGTGCCGTACATTACAGGAAAACTAGGTGATGGGGGCGAGAGACAAAATGACGATACGATGACGGGGTATCGATATTTTCAACCTGATTGTGTGACAGTTCTTGAATTGGTGGAGCCAGAAACTCGTGATCGGTACCGTCATGATCAACCATCCAGATCTGATCCGCTGCTACAGATCGTCTAAAGAACCTAACATTGTAATGATAGTCGGATAGCTCTCTATAGAGTACGTACAAATGTAAGTGCATTTGCCGCATAATAGTCGCCGAACGTGAGCCCCGACAATGGCGCTTCGATCCTAACGACAATTAGATGTTTATTTCAAGTCACAAAAGAAGATACCAATACTGACCTAGTAGCAACACGGCAAAAACATGGTCTGCGCAATATAGAAAAAAGTACAGGCGAAACTGGGCGATGATGCCAAACAAGTTTGAGCCATTGATAGGTAAAAGTTAAATATGAGCTTGATGTTATCAAACATATAAGATCTGATAGTAAACACCGGGTTTGCCGTGTTGGACAGCGTCGTCGCTTTTCTTTTCTTCTCTTCTCTGAGTCCGACTCGTTCCGAAGCATTATTCGCTTTGTTCGCCAATCCTCGGAGTCTTTAAAACAGTTTTCCGTTTAGTGATGAAGACATCAATGCCAAAAAAAGATAGAACTTCTGTTGCATAAGAGTGATAACCATTGGAACCCCAATGAGCGTTATGGTGTACAAAAGTACCAACTTTGAAATGTAGTGGGCGAATGCACTTCGGTCATTGTTTTTGCGAACAGTAAAATTCCTCAACGTTTGCGGATATGGCGAGAACATGACGACGACGTTGACATAATAGGTCTTACATCATCGATGAAGCACCACTGCATGTCAACAGTACAGTTTGTCAAGCTCATTGTTTCGTCTTCAAAAACAAAATCAAGGCTGCATCAAGGTGCGAATTGCTTTGCCTGGAGTTTTTAGAAATCACTGATATGTATTCGAAATTCAAAGTATATGTTCCGGAATCATAAGCATTGAACGAATATGTTGTAGGAATCGGACGTTTGATATCAGAAGAAGAGTAGAAGAAAGCTTGATAATGGATAAACGACCAATGATATATATTCAACCAATATCTTGCCGGCTCGTCTTCTTATATGATACGCTATTACTCTACTGTTGTTGCTGGTAATGACGGCGCTGCTACTTCAGCGGGACCGATTCTTCCTTTGGATCGTTGACTGTTTGTTTACAGTTAATAAAGTAGCAGATAACGGGAATCTCGATTATCAAAGAATTCGCACGATATGCATATCGGAGTAATTGGCGATGTTTTGGTTTAAAAACGTTCAGGAACGGTAAAAAGATTTTTTTCCCTCTTCTTGTTTGTTCACTCATCAGCTACTTGCCATGTCGTCAGACTACGTCAAATCGTTGCTACAGCTACGTCCTGAAGTGAAAAAGGACCCACGCACCATTGCTTTATGGCGTAAGAGGCTTCTTCTTGGCCTTGTCTGCTTCATTGCCATCATTCCGGGATTCTGCTCCACTATATATGTAAGTCTCAGTATCATGAAAAAATATAAAGTGACAGCAGAAACACCTGACTTTCTGTATATGCCCTGATCTGTTTAAACTACTAGCTTCCAGCCTTGGAAGAGATAACTGCCGAACTGAACAGTCCTACGATTATGGTGACGCTCAGTAACTCGCTTTACATGCTGTTCATGGGTATCGCTGTAAGTACCTTGTTTCACCCTCCTTAGAAGAAGAATTTTCTTCGTCTGCGGAGGATCAGCTCGCGCTAAATGTTTTGTTTGCAGCCGATCTTTTATAGCAGCATTAGCGATCACTGGTATGTTCGTCGCTCGGTCTACTTTTTCAGCATCATCATTTACACTGCTGGTTCTCTTGGTGGCTGCTTTGCCTACGATATCTATGTCCTACTCGGCATGCGCATTCTTCAAGCAGTGGGCATCTCATCAGCTTGGGCTATCGGTGCTGGGTAAATTATATTTAAAAAAAGATTAGCGCAAAAGGATTAACGGAGACTAACTCCTTTTTTTTTTGCCCTTGCAGTTCTGTAGCTGATGTATATGACGTGGAAGAACGTGGTAATGCGCTGGGTATTTACTTTACGGGGCAATTCGCCGGTCCCTTGTTTGGCCCTATCTTTGGCGGGTTTCTCGTCGAGCGTTGGGGTTGGCAGTCTGTGTTTTGGCTCCTTTTCGTGATTGGATGCATTCTCTTGCTCCTGGTCGTCTTTGTCATGGAGGAGACATACCGCGAGGAAGACAAGTGGGGCAAGAACGGAATGGTTGAAATTGATCCTGACCAGAAAACCGAGGAAACGGCGGTTGAGTCAAAGATGGTCAATCCGCTTGCGTCGCTAGCTCTGCTCCGCCATCCTTTTGTGTTTATTTGCGCCACTAGCACTGGCTTGGCTTTCGGTGGAATGGTAAGACATAACTAGCTGTGCTGAAGCAATAATTAGCTACTCGAACAGATGACAAGCTTACTCTTTTTTTTTTGCGGTGTGGTTGATTATAGTTTGCCATTGAAAACATGCTTCCTGAGCTGTATACCCACCAGTACGGATTTTCGTCCAGCCTTATCGGTCTTTCGTTTATCTCACCTGGTCTCGGTGAGGTGATTGGCTCGCTGATTTCTGGAAAACTCTCGGATATTTTCCTTGGGCGTGCAATGGCGAAGCGCGACGGGGTTGCTATGCCTGAAGATCGATTGGCTCCTAATGTTTGGTTAGTTTTAAGCTTAACAAGTACTTGGAAGAAAACCGCTGCTAACGTCTGTTGAAATGATAGGCCGTGTGCATTTCTCTTGAATCCTTTGTCATTCTTTCTTTGGGGCTGGCCCGTTCAATTGGGCTGGAACGTCTGGGTATCGATCATTATGTTTGGCGTCCAATGTTTCGCTATGGTCAACGTTTTCAACCCTGTCATGTCGTATCTTGTGGACTCTGTGAGTGGTCGTGGTGCTAGTGTCACTGCAGCAGCCAACCTCGTCCGCATGATCTGGACGTTTGCGCTTAGTTTGATCGGTAAACTATAATCGGAAAACTCTACAACCATCCTTTTCTTTCTTCTCTTTTCCTGTGATTCTGATCGGTCTAACATCGCACGTGTTCGCACAAAAGAAAGAAATGCAAAGAGAGAGGAGGTCTGTGAATGCGACATGATTTCCAAAACTAACATACGTTTTTGGTTTGTAGCTAACCCCATGACCCAAGCTGTTGGCGCCGGCTGGGTCACGTTCTTCTTTGGCATGTTGAACTTGGTCTGGGCGTTTTTCGTTCTCGCTTTGAAACTGAAGCCTCAGATCCGCAAGTACTCGGGCTATTAATGATACCCTTCTCAAGGAATGACCAGATCCCTTCAATAATAATGCACACGGTGAGTTTAATTTAGCTTAAATTTTAGAACATGGACTGTTCACTAGGAGCATTCCATCGTAATAAAATGTTACCATAATACTTTTTACTTTTATATCATCACACATCATTGGTTTACTTTTCATCTTAAAACATCAGCCTTTGAATATTGCTTATGGAAATGGCTTTCTCGAGAGATATTCATCTTCGGAATCGATGAATGCAGATAGATTATTAGAGCAATCAATTGTAACAAACCAGGGTCTAAAATAGGTCTCGTTGGTAAGAGATATGGTCGTCAACATATTATTGTCTATTGTAATACTTGCCCCTTCTTCAACAAAACAATTATAATGCTGCGCCGTACTCTCAAAGACCTTATGAACTATTACATTAAAGCACTGATGACCTGCCGAACACATCAATGTATTCAACAGAAAAAGACAACAACAAAATGTCTAAAGAAATCAAGTCTTTGAATGATTATAGAACCCAGATAGCACTATCCTGTAATATCGATAGATATCATTTCACGGAGAGCCACAGACACCCAGCTGATAGGAAAAACAACAACTTTATGCAAATAAGTAGGGTACTTAATAGCGGACTGATGCTGAACGTTCCAAAATGATTACAACACTCGCAAGCAGGGCCTATTATTCCCGTGGGCAGGAAGAAGACGGATTACTCTTTATTTCCAAGTGTAATATGTTACTGCTGAAGGTTTAACAAGGAGTAAGGGTGTACTAGGACGAGAAACTTGATCATGAATGCTTTCCATTAATGAGCATTTTATTCAGTACAATACTGTCAATACCAACTATCACTTACAGCGCCACTTTTCTCATCGTCATAAGCTAAACTATCTTTGCATAAATATACATACCGGTGGATTAATCTCCTTTTTAGGGGAAAAAGCTCTAATCATAAGATCAATGCGGGTGGATCCATCTAACAAATTTATATTGCGGGGTATACCAGTCAGCTCGCACAATTGAGTTGACGGGATCCGTTGACATGTGATCAATATGTATAATTCCCATGGCTTTCAGATACTTTTACTGTAGGAACTAGATTTTACTTCGCGGTGGTGCAAAGTTTGATTGGCGGACGGCACCAGGTAACGCTGTCTCTCAATTAGCTCTTTGTGTGCGCCGGTCGTTGTTGTTGTCTGTATATGCACATCTAGAAAAGCCAGCTTATTTATTTTATAGCATAAATGTTTTGGCCGGGTCTGGATTTGAGTCTAATGTATATATGCACAGAGACGGAGATCTTTGCTTTTATGTGGTGTAACCAGTCTGCGCGGGTTTGTGATACCACTAGGACCCCTTTCGCTGTTTAGCCGGGCAATGATGAATGCATGCAAATGTGCGCATTACTGTCAACGTTTCTTTTTGCTCATCTACAAGAGACGCTTTTCTCTCCGCCGCTATCGTCATTCCTAAAGACTATGTGTGCTAGTACGTAGCAATAGTGATGGTGATGATAAATCATGTATTAATTATAATTTATTACGGTTACGTGTTACCATTTAATCAGCACCTTTATTAACTCTGATGGATCGCTGACAATATCGTCGTCCTCCCAAGCGACTTGTTTGTTTGTACTAATTTAAATGATGTGTGCTCCGTGTGTTTTCTGTGAGTTAGTCATTCCTACTACCATGTCCATGGCTACACTTTACACCCGAGCTTCTGACTTGTTGTTCGCATTTGATTACTTTTATTAAAATTTCTTGGCTAATATTGCATGAGCAAGATTTTTCTTTGCGTGCCAATGGAATGGATGGAAAAGCTGACATTGCATATACAGCTTCCCGAGACGGTGGAGAAAAGAAAAGAGTGACAGACTTTGGGCGGAGAGCGAGTCGGGGACATGGATAGCACATAATTTGCTGGTCCCGCTCAAAACTCTTTTTACGGGATTTAACCTTCGTTAGGCATGTGTGCGCGTGTACCTCTGCTTCACCACAAGTGACACATGGCGAACAATGAGCTGATCTGTGTGTCTCTCTGCAATTCATTGCAGCCGTTTTTTTTTTTTTTTTTTTTGCTTAGCATCGATATCTGGTATGTATACGGACATTCCTCCCCCGTCTTCAATGTCGGAAAGTGTAATTATCAAGATCCCTTCATAAGAAAATAGACTTTTTGGCTTGCTTTTAAAAAAAATAGAGTGCGGAGCAAAAGAGGATGTCTTCTTTCTTTCTTGTATTTCTCACAACAAAAGAATGACACATCTCAGGTACACACTCGTTGCTATTCCTTTTGTTATTTGACATCCTAGACTGAGCAACACTCTATAGCGATTTCTCCTATCTACGTAGGTTCAGCTGACGCCTTCTCATCACCGACCGACCGACCGAGAGAATGCGAACGGATTTGTCTAACCTCGCAACGGAATGTCTTTTTGTTGTTCCTGTAGAACGATGCTGCCTCGAAGTATATATTTCCATGTTTTTAATACATCGTATATGGACGAACGAGCGGTTCAACTGTTTGCGGCCGTCACAAATTCCCAAGATGGCACTCAAAAGCATCATCACGTACCTAATGATTATAATGATGTGTACACAAACGACATGGGGTATGTGAAAACTATCAAAGGTCATGTCGACAAGGTCTCTATGCTACTAGCAAGAGCGCATACTGATCTCATCCTATTTCTTATCAACACACGCATAGATATTATATCAACGTGGATCAAATACAGAGAAGGTTTCATGGAGCGACCTGATAACGGTCAAATTATCCAGAAGCCATTCCCATATTGGGACGAGTACCACCAAAAATTTGTTCAAGTAAGCATATACGTATTCCTTTTTTTTCACGTGTCATAGCAAAGGGATGCTAAATAGTCCGGAACTGCCGTTATTTACTTCACAGCCAATCGATTACATTCAATGTGTCACATTCGCATTACAAACCGGCGTGTTTTTCTTGCTGCAGTGTTTCTGGAATTACCTATGCAACCGAGTCGCAAAGCGATCGTTCATGGGCTCTTGGGAATTCAAGTTCTATATCTTATGGTAAATAACTGATATTTTGTTTTCTGGCTAAGATGCGGTGTAACTTGAGGATGGCATGCATGCATGCATCAAATTACTGACTTTTTCCCCTCAGGGCACTTGGAAGTGCTGCCATGTTTCCAGTGCTGCAGTGGCGATGGAGCGATGATGAGTTGTTGAGTGAAGTTGTGCCACAGCTGGCATATGCCTTGCAAGGTGCGTTCTAATAGTCCACTTTTATCTTTTTGCTGGATATCGGATCTGCAGTACTTAATCGTGGCTATTATCCAGTGTTGATCACTGCTAGCCTTGGTGTTCGCTCCCACTTTAGATTCAGAAGACTCTTGAAACTGTGCAAAGACAAGATCGGTGCCCGATTGATGTATTTCAAGGACATGAACGTCATGCTCACTATCATTTTGTTTGTCTACGGTGCCACGCTTGTCTTGCTGTGCGCAGACGGACTGACGACGAACATGACCATCAATTCCAACAAGTTTGCCATCGACCTATTGATTGCCAATACTAACATGTGTGTTATCTTTCTTTGGCTTTCATTCGTAAGTAGTCCGGAAGACGGAACGGGTGTCATTGGACGTGGGGACATACATGGCTAAAACGCTATATATAGATTTCGATTTTCCACCCTCGAAAAGCGGCAGGCAACAAGGTAAACACGTCCCAGAACTCAACCCACGATCCAGAGGAGTCAACGAACCCTCGGCTCAACAAATTCATCATGAACGACACAACAAAGCGATACAACAACAATACAGGCTCGCCCCTTCCTCCACCTATCTCCACAGCGGATTCATCACAACCAGCAGCACAATCATCGTCCCGCTCACCAGAACCACTGTTTTCTCCCGACGCTCCCTCACCACAACCGCTGTCGCCTCCCCCACCGCACGCAGGCATTGACAGCTATTATCAGCGCGCAACTGGCACTGCATCCAGCACCACTGGCACTGGCATTGACAGCTACTACCATCACCGCACGACTGGCGCGGCGTCCACTACGACCGGAATAGATAGCTATTATCAACATGGCCCCACAAAAGAAAACGGCTGGTAAAATAAACAGATGATGAGTTGCCGGAACAACTCGTACACGTATTATTATTATTTGTGGGGTGATCGTACATGATTACTTGTTAAAGGGAGCGAGGCATGACAATAACAGCCTTAATAATACTATCATGATGCAGTGTCGTCCCACCTTTTTTTTCCTCCTTCTATCTGTTACTATCATTACTATTATGTTACAATTATTTTCGTTAAAAGAAATCGCAAGACATATGTACACTTTTTTTATTTATTTCTTTTTACTTTTCTTTACACAGCTTGTTGCCGTGCTGTTAGACATTCTGATGCTTGAGGACAATTGGGAATGATGGAGCATCGTACCTCGCTTGCTCTCGTTTTAAGGCAAGCGTCACATCGACATGACGGGAGATGCTTTTTTCTATGTTCGTCTTCTAGGTATATAAGCTTGATAAAATTGCCAAAATCGCATGCGAGACCCGTTCCATCCAGCGGTAATACATGGTGCACCGTCGAGAACGGCAACAGCTCATAATCTTCATCCGGTTGCTGCTGCTGTCGTTGTTGCTTTTGGTCTTTCCTCCGTCGCCGGCTACTATTGCCACCGTTCGTGTTCTCTTGTGGATCAACACCAAAGAGTCCAAAGTACGAGTCGAGTTCCTCCTCAGTCTCTGGGTTGTCTTGGTCGAGGTCAAATGTCTCGACGGGTATCCGTTCTTGATCTTTGGCCGAGTCGTAGTACTGTAGGGATGCAAACCATGCCTCCCATTGATGGGTGCCTGCCTTTTGTCGAACGCCAGCTAAAAGTCGACTCCTTCCACAGAATGCCAGGCCTCGTCCAGCGGGCTGGTCAATTTTGCCGAGATGTGTTGGCACAAGCTCGATCTCTTCGCCGTCGCCCGCCAGTTGTTCAATGTCTAGGAGTTCTAGCAAGTTGTCTCCGTCCGATGCTGCTGTTGTCGATTTGGGTATCATGTGTGCTTGATGACGCTGTCGTCGTCGCGGTGGTCGAGTCGGTGTGCTAGTGGTAGTATTGCTGTTATTGCCAGAGTCGCCCGACTTCTTTTTGCGTTTGTACTGACTTCGATGATAGTCTTTGCTGCAGAGCGTACAGCTTCCGTTATGACTGCTTCCGCCCACACGCTCTAGACGATACACGTCGACGATGCCATCGGTGGAAGATGCTGCAATGAAGAATCCGTTGCCAAAGCACGTGTCACAGCCTCTGCACATGCCCCGACCCTTTTCGACTTCGCAATATCGGGTCACTACCAGTTGGCTGATCACAGCACTACTGTCCACTGCGGCTGCTGCTGGTTTGGTCGAGGCTTCCGCGAGTGTGCATACGGGCGCGCCGGTCTCGAAATTCCATACACGCACTGAACGGTCGCTGGCTGCAGTAACCAAAACGCCCATGCCACCGACAGGTAACTCGGTCGCAATAGATGTGATAGCGTGTCCGTCGTGGCCCTTGATGCTGTACGCGCAAGTCCATACGCTCGTTATGTCTTGTCGCTTCACTATTTGTCGCTCCCAGCAAGTAACTCGGCCGTCCTTGGATGCAGTAAAGACCCACGACACGCCTAATTTCCGATGGGGTGCCTTGGCTTCGACGACATGGAGAGTTGAAATATCGCGCATGTGGCCTGATGGAACGGTTTGCATGCATTCGCCTGACAGAATATCCCATTCGCGGATCATTCCGCTCTTGTGTGCAGTGACAAGGTAGTTTTGCGACTTGACGGTGGCATGGCCCTTGGTTTTAGCTGCTACTTCGGCAACCACGGGGTGACAATACTCAGCAACGGCACCGATAAACTGAACAGCCAAGACGCGATCAAGATGACGCTTTTTCTTGGACAGAGGGTCACCACTGCCATTATTGCTGCTGCTGCTGCTGCTGCTACTGTTGTTATTGTTGTTTCGTCGGTTACGGAAAACAACTTGCTGCTGAGGTTGCTGGATATCGCCATAATCCCGTTCGATGCAAAACTCGCGAGTGACTTTGCCGGTGCATGCACTCCACACCCAGATCATGCCATTGTTGAGGGCTGCAGCGATCCACTTGTTACCTTGATCGATCTTTACGCATTTGGCAGGTATGGCTCTGGTGCTGCCGTTGTCACCGTCGTACCTGAGTTGTGTGATCGGTCTGGCTCGGCGAGTGTCCCATGCAACGACACGATCATCCTGTCCGCACGAGACAACGATGCCGTGTTTAGCATTGACATCAAAGCGACGGACGTCAGCCACATGTTGGCCCGACAACGTTTTGATCGACACGTTGCCCACGCTGCTGTTGCGTTTCTGGTATTGCTCTTGTGCAGAAATCGCACCCACGTGAATGACTTCCTGATCTTGTCGGAAATGTTCGCGTAAACGACGGACAATGACGTTGGACGAGATGATGCTTGGATTCAACACACGCAGAAGGATCTTTTTGAACAGCGGGATTAGCCATTGATCGCGGTAGGCTGGTGTGAGCCAGATAAGAATGCCAACGAGGACAATGCAGAGCACAAGGCTCGGCACATTGATGCTGGAGAGGAAAAGGAAGGTATTTCGTGCACATGTGAACACAAAGCTCCGAAGTTTCGATGGCGGCTGCCGCTTGCTCTGCGCTACTTGGATGCTCAGTGCTTTGTTCCGATAGGCGGCTTCAAACGACTCGACGGTAGATGTTGCTGGCATACCAAAGGTGGCAAGGTATGGCGGCTCGACACGAAGCCATTGAGTTTCACGAGAGGGGTTGATGATATCCCAGTACTCAGTCGAGACGGTGCGCAAACGTTCCGTTTTCGTCAAGAGTTCTTGCTGCTTCAAATCGACATGGTACGACGATGGCGGGCAAAAGGGAACTGTGGCTCGTCCAAAGTAGGACTGAAACATCATTAAGCCTAAGATAACCATGCATAACTATACATCATTGTGCGTGGTTAGCGACAACGCTTTATCGGCATAGGTCTTCACACGGTATGAAGAGAAGGATATTTTCTTCTTTACCATTAATGCATTCACTTCTCGATGCGTTTTAAAGTCCTTGCAGTCTGCGCAGCTGGTATGCTCGCTGGAGTCCTGAATAGGACAAAAATCAGGCGATTGTTTCTGATCGTCCTCTACGTTGCTGATAGCTAATTCTCGCAAACGCTTGGAGACTTGACGATCGTCAAGATCGGCAAGCTACATGAGTAGTTATGCAGTTAGCATTACTCAAACAATGACAAACAATAACGTGTGTGTGTATTTTTAGCACCCGCTTAATTGTACCTCAGCACGGTTAATGTCGATAGAGAGAACCGCCATGAAAAAGGTCATTTCCAGACAAAACTCGACCGCAAGAGCCACCTGGGCGAACAGACAAAACTGCTTGATCATAGGCACCTCCATGGCACGACCGATTTCCAGGATAGCCAGTTCAGCCATGAGCGTACCAATCATGGGAGCGCCAACGCTTTGCAGACCTTTATTGAGCTTTTTTGAGTACACAAGGTCATGCGGGCCATTTGGCTTTCTTTGGGCTTTTCCTTCCACCTTGTTCCTTTGCTTAAACACACACACACACACACACACACACACACTCTTTGGAACTGTACCTCGCGAAACCTTCTCCTTGACTTGCATGTCGCAGCCGGCATTGACAATGGCATTCGTCAATAGAAACGAGTTTTCCAGCGTTGCGACGTTGGAGACCAGGGGAAACAAATACCATGGCACGGCATCAAGCGACGCACCGAATCGGTCGAGGATGCTGAGAGTGACAGTGACACAGGTGATGGATGTGAACACCGCAGCCAGACCCAGGCCGTATCGGGACTTTACAAGCTGTGTCGTTCCAAAGGCAGACGAGACAATGAAGAAAATGACCATGTGTGACAAAAGGAAAGCATACACACTGATTGGTATGTCGTAATCCGGGAAAAGAATCTTGAACTTTTTATAAGCAGTGTTAGAGATGATGAACCATGTCTAATTATTTGGAGAGAGAGAGAGAGAGAGAACAGGTACCTTGTATTGCCATGTTATTGCTGGCGCGTTGGCTTGCTTAATGTACCAAGACGGAGACATATGTTCGTTATAACGTTCGATGGCTGTTTTCCAAACGTGTTCGTCGCTGTTGCGCAGCAAAAGTGCCGTCAAGACAATGGCATCAGCACCAACTAGTTTGCCGTGCTTATCAAGCGTTACATTTTCAAAGACTGAGAGAGGGTCGAGTGACGACGACGTAGAATTGTATCGATTCAGCGAAGCTGGCCAGTCGTCGTGTATCATTTCGTCGTATTGCCATAAAGTGCCAAAGGGTGAGTATAATTTAAAATAAGGCAAATCGTTTAATGACAGTGAGTGGCCCTTCTTGTTGTTCAGGTCCACTTGGAATGTCGTTAAACCAAGCTGCCAATCGCGGGCCCGAGCCAGCAGCTCGTGAGTGACCGGTTCGTTGTTGGGATTGGTTATGCGAACCTGGTATACGGCAAGCATGTCGCTGGAAGGCTGTTTAAGAATAGGTTGAACGTGGGGCGTGTATTGCCAAAACTGATCGTTTGCCGCATCGGCCAGGACGGATGTGGTGTAAAGTGAATCACGTAATCGTTGTACGGCCGGCCAGGATAGAACAAGTGCAATGAATAAGGACGTACATAGATAGGAAAATTTGCGCAAGGCACATGCCTTACCAAACGCACCAATGCATGCGTTTAGTTTGGCAATGAGCATAGAGGGAAGAATAATGGAATAAGGGAGGAAAGGGTGGGGGAGGGGGTTTGGTGGTGGCAAATAAAAAAGAAAAAGAGCAAAAGCGAGGGAGGGAATAAACAAAGCAAAAGGGGAAAGGAAGGTAGAAGAAGAATAAAATAGAGAAGAGAGGAGAGAGAATGGAGGACGCCCGGGGCACCTGAAAAGGCGGTCGCCCTTTTTGTGTGTGTTGGCAGGTGTAACACACAGACAAAGAGCTGCTGCCAGTCAATTGTTTGGGCTGCAGTGAAAACTAAACAGGGTGTGCAGTATATAAGTTACTAGCAGAGACACACACCAACCTCTTTTCCTAAGAATGGTCTTTTTTAAACAAGTCAACTACTCAAATGGTAAAGCAAACAATGTTGGGATCATTGACACAGACCTCCCGTGTCCTTTTATGGATAGGTCCATTTTCCTCGTGAAAAAAAGATGTCTGCACTCAGCTTACACAACTTTTGGCTCAACATATACAGCGGGCATGCAATTGTGAGCTATAATGACGGTACACAGCTGATTTTCTGATATGTTATGCGTTGCTGTTGTTGTTACATAAAGCGCGAGCTGAGTCAGGATGCAACAACTGTGCTCAACTGGGCGAGTTAAGCTCTTTTTGCCCCACGATTGACTTTAGGATGAAAGAGTTGTCAGCGGAGGGAGGGCTGGATCTTATCTCGAGACCCGAATAACATCAGACGTGGTGAATAGCGACTTTTATTGGTAGCAAAACGTGCTTTGGTGTAGTTACGGAGCATGAGGAGCTTTCAGAGACAGCTGTTGAGGACAAGTTGCAATAATAGCATGTGTCAATAAAAGTGATGTCAAGCTGGTCTCCTTCGTCACTGTTCGCTACTTGACTGAGAAAGGTCGGTACCAGTTTATCATACAGCTTTACGTACTGTCTGCTTGATTGTAAATGTTTTTTTTTTTCGTAAAGTGTTCCTTATAGTGAGCAAACAGAGAAAGGCATCGCCAAATACACCCAAATAGCTACTTTAACTCGGATCGCACGTGTAGTAGAATGTAGCAGCAGTATATATTAACAGTGTAATCCGACTATTTACCTATTCATTTGCTCGGCATGAATTTTCAGTATCCCGCGGACCAGTCTGCACAGATGCGGGCGAAAAGACGCCATGTCAAAACAGTTTGAATCGCTCGGCTATGTTCTACTACCACCACTGGTTGTCTGCATGCACAAATACAAACGTTGACAAAAAAACAGATTGTATCTCAAAAAAAAAAAGGCCTTAGGAATGCAGGTGAGATATGTAAAAAATCAGACTTTGAAGCGAATCCTTTGTATAGTAGCACTCGTACGTGAGACCATGTGGAGGCACACACTTTTAGGATTCGGATCATTGTCATACTTATTTTGCTCTGACTTTCTATAGTGGGATGCGATCTAACATACGCCACTTGGAAGAGAGAGAGAGAGAGAGACGATCCACAACAGCAGAAAAAAACAAAACGATGCGTGGCGTATATGGACGCAACAAGCAACGAACGTGGTACCTTGCCCTTTTCGGCCCTCAAACAGTGAAGACTCACTGTATATAGACTGGAAAGACCGCACCATTACTTGGTCAATAAGAGTACATACTAGAGAGCTTGGTCTGAAGAGTTGCTGCAGTCTGTGAAGCTAACCATATAGGAGAAGCGTCTGCGATGGTACGTGGGGATTCTTCTCATCCTCCCTCTATATATCAGTTGATAATAGAAGAAGAAGCTTAAAAAATCATGCCTAAATGACTTTATGCTAATCTCACTTTGCTTTGGTAACATTAAGGACATCCCTTTGTTTGTTTTGATGCGATGATGTACATATGCAAAACGGACAAAGCGCCGTTTTTGGGACAATCGAGGCAAAGATCATTTGTTTGGTTACACAAAGTGTGGCAATCATCACTTATAATAATCGCAAGCCTTTTTATTTTTCTCTCCTTCTTTTCTGTTCTTTTCTCTCTCTTGAACTTGTTCTTTTCTTCTTTGCATGAGTACTACTACAGATACTACACCTGCAGTGGTAAAAGTACCACAGAAGCCCTCACAATGGTCTAAGCTCCAAACAGCCACCCATTTGATGGGCGGTGCTGGTGGTACAGCAGACAAGAAAAAGAAGAATAAAAATATGCAGTCAGCAACACCACTGACCATCGACACGCAGCACATAAATGGCAACGGCGATCATGGGCCTAATAAGCAACCAGAGCCTCAACAACAACAACAGCAGGAGCAAAAGACAACGTCGAAACACACGCGAGTGGCGTCTTCTACCGTGTCCGCCAACACAACCTTTTCAAATCGCATCAAGAAGAATCCATTTGCATTTTTGAAAAAGGTATCCTCTCCAACCACAGGCACGAGAAGCGTACCCAGCAAGACCCAGCAGCAACAGCCTGACCAAGTGCCGAATCGACTCAAGGTGTTTGTGGGGACGTGGAACATGTATGGACGACTACTTCCGATCGACCTCGCCACGTTCCTGACACACCGCAAAAAGAACAACCAAGAAGAGATTGAAAGAATACCCCATTTGGACCACACCCCGACCCATCCTTACCATATCCTGGCCATCGGCACGCAGGAGTGTGAGCGGGACATTTCCGAATCCCTCATTTTTCCATCCAAAGAACTCTGGGAAAAAAGGCTGCAAGAGTATTTGGGCCCCCAGTACATGCTGCTGCAGACTGAAACGCTTGCTGCGTTGCATCTGGCTGTGTTTGTTTGGCAGCCTGTGAGTCACCTTGTTCAAGGCATCCAATGTGACCGAATCAAGACAGGTTGGGCTAACATGATCGGGTAACTATTTCTTTCCCCCCTTTTCCTTTTTGTTCATAATAGGAGGAAGCTAACAACGGTATTGCTATAGAAACAAGGGCGCAGTGGCAATTTCTCTTTTGTTTGGATCACGTTCTTTGCTTTTCATTAATTGTCATCTACGGGGTAAAGTGTGAAAATGGCTGAGAATGTATTTTACTTATTGGCAGCTTATAGGGTCTATTAATACTGATGCACTAAATGTTCTTTTATAAAAGCACATCAATCTAAACTAACGGAGCGCAACGCAAATGTGCAGCGCATCCTTCACGAACTTAAAATACCGGAGTTTGCAACCGACCCGTTGCTATGCAACAAGAAAAACCATCACCACCATGCAACTTCCTCGTTGTCAAGGATACAAAGCACCGCAAGCAGCAGCGCCAACAGTATTCGTCGCCACCGCCGTCGGAAACGCCGAGACGACACTAAGCCAGAAAAGGCAGAGGTCGAGGCAATATTCTCTGGTAAACACATAAAGAGCTTTTCTTTTGTCACACCGTCGTTAGATCCAGATTGCTAAAAAATGCCTCTCCCCCTCTCTCTCTTTTGCATTAGGTGAAGCCGAAACACCCAGTGTGACAGAGCGATTTGATCATGTTTTCATATTTGGCGATACAAACTACCGCATCAATGCCGACAGAAAATGGGTTTTGGACACGGTCAAAAAAGGCGATTATAAAGTAAGTTAAAGCATTATGCACTATTGCATAATTATTATGATTGGTCGCGCGACACCTGTTTTGGAGCACTTATAAACTTTTCTACATAGTCTCTGTTGCGTTTCGATCAGCTTACAGTAGAACGTCATTCGGGCGCAAGTCCGTTGACAGCTTTCAATGAGCATCCTATTGACTTCCCACCTACGTACAAGCTCGATACCATCAATAACGACGATGCGAGCGAGTCCAGTAGTGATAGCGGCAGTGACGACGACGATAGCCATTCTTCACCTTTTGATTGGTTCTCGTCTGCATCCTCTTCACGTCGGTCCACAGCACAAACGACACCTACCACGACTACAGGGGCTTCTTCCGCTACCCCTTCATCTTCCTCAGCTACGCAGCAGCAAAGCAAGGCATCCGCTACCGCAGGGGCTTCTTCTTCTTCTTCTTCTGATACTCCTTCCACACCCTCATCTAAACAGCAACAACCAAAGCAAAAGCAAGCAAAACAGCAGACACTAGCGTCACAGCAACAGCAAGTGCCGCCAGTACCGCCTCTACCACCACTACCGCCTCTACCACCACTACCTAAAGAATCTTTGAATAACAACAAGACCAGACATCGCAAGCAGCGATCCCTATCAGCACCAGAGATCCGTCCATTGTCACAACATTTCGTTTCGCCTAGCGAATTAAAGTATGACAGCAGTGAAAAGCAAAGGATTCCATCCTATACAGATCGAATCTTGTGGCACGATCGAAAGCGGGACTGTCCCGACTCTGCTGCTGCTGTTGCTGCTGCTACGGTATCAGCAGCCTCAACAACAACAACAACAACACGCGGGATTGTAGCAGCAAGCTCATCAGCAGCAACAACAACGGAAATCAAGCCAGCCGCTTGGTGGAAACGTAAACGAAGCATGTCCAAGTCACGATCCCTTGCAGCAGCCAAGGAGGAGCCGAATAAGGATACCATTTGTTGGTGGTACGGTGCAATTTTGGATCAGGCGCTTGTCGGTGTAAGCGACCATATGCCTGTTGTGGGCGTCTATGGTATTTATTTCGATGAATGGGAACCAAAAACACAGATCCCTGCCACTGTCGCCGCTGCAGCAGCAGCAGCACCTACCAACACCATTGCCAATACCACCACTACTGCCACCACAAAAGCACAAGATACCCAACAACAACAACATGCCGCCAAGAAAAAGAAGAAGCATTGGTGGAAACTCATTGTATAGATACTAGACATGCCAAAAATCTAAAGTTATTATCTATCATAAAGTGGAGCATTATATTTTATTTGTGACCAGCAGCAAAAAAAAAAAAAAAGATACATCAAGTAACAGGAGCAGACAACGAAACGATGGAATCATAGCCAGGCAAAGAGCTTCTAGATAGCCGTGTGCGACTGCTTGCAGTGCTCTTGTAAGATGGACAGCGCGACAGCTGTGCCATCATGCCATTCCGTTGGGTTGATGATGCTATTGAAAGCTGCTGCTGCTGCTGTTGTTGTCCAGGATCATGGTCGGCCATGGGTGAATAAGCGAGAATAACATCAGTTGACCTGCATTCAGTCTGATAGGCTGGCAATAGCTCTGCGAAATCATCACCCTCGTCGCCATACGTCGAACATGTGACTTGATCCACCTGGCACACGGTGATGGGTATAGTAGCGATGATCTCTGTTGGGGAGGCGGGGGTGGCGGGGGAGTAAAGAAATATGTAAGTGACACAACAAAAACAACAACAACAACAACAACAACAGAAGCAAATTTAAGCTTTTTTTTTTCCTTCCACACACCTTCAACTTGACCGTCTTTCTTGGCAACTGAAATTAAAACCTTTAGCCTGTGTTTAATCTTGATCATGTCGGTAGCCACATCCGAAGGGATCTGACTCGGTATCCGAAGCTGTTCCGTCTTGTTCCACGACGACGACGACGACGTTGATGAAGGAGATGACGACGGTGCTGGTATAAAATGATCGTCGCGCAAGTAACTTAACGTATGACTTGACTTGCGCACAAACTGACCACGACAAACAAGCGTGATGTATGATTTCAAGTAACACGCCACTGTCCGGATGCGTGCGACTCTCGGACTAATGTTCTTGAGATAAAAGTCTATTGGGATTGTGCTACCGGGTCGGCAGACAATGCTAGGTAGGCTGACTTGATATTCCAGCAGAGGATGCTGGTCGCCAAATAATGCCCGTTGCTGCAGGCTGTGTGAATTGCGGAGGCATCGAGCGACACGCACCGGTCGTCTCACCACAAAGTTGGGTGTGAACGTCGGTCGTTCGGCGATCGCTTTGAGTCGGTATGTAATGTCGGCATGGCGATCTTCTTGGCGATCGAGGCTGGCAGGTAGATGAGCAGGCAGTTGTAAGCAAAAGTCCCTGATAAAATAGGCATGGTTATTTAGTTTTTCTTTGATGGGGATGACACTGATGATAATAATACAATGCTTACCATTTCTGACGGCCATGGAAAATTCTTGTGCTTTTGGATGGAGGCAGAAAGCTCCACGAGTGTTCTATCACTGTGCGTTCTTCCTTGTAATGGTTGCCTGGAAGAAATGAGGCGATAATTAGGGGCTCCGAGAGTTCTATTCAAGAATGCTGAATAGCGTGAAACAAGTAGAAAAAACAGCTCACCATCCTGACCCCAATGGCATCGTGCCCGTCCTTGGAACTTTAGGGTAACTGATTTAATGCGGGTATTGCGACACTCCAGAACAACGCTGCCTCGTAGCAAGCCGCCTTCGTCTTCATACAGAATGATCTGGCCGTTGTCTTGGACGGATATGCTGAGCAGGTCGTTGCTGTGCATGTGTTTATTACTGTTGTACATTTCTTGTTGTAGTGATGCTTGTGTGTGTGTGTTGTTGGATGGAGTAAGTAAATGAAAGAAGGGGGACGAAGAAAGAAGAAGCGGAAAAAAGTGAATATATAAGGGTCCAAAATAAGAAAAAAGAAAATAGGGCCGGTAAAACATTCTCTTTCTCATTGTTTCATAATCGTCCACTTTGTTTACAGCTGCAACACCAACAACAACAACAACAATAATAATAATCATCATGATAAAAAAACGTGCGGGCCGAAGACATCATCTGACAAGAACGAAAAAAACTGTTGGGCTGATAAATACAAAGGGTGTCACAGTCATTGCTAATGTAGTGCTGCTTTATGGAGATGATGGGGTCAATGGCGACTCCTCTGGCGATTGCAGTGGCTCTTGTGCCGGTGATAGTGGGGCCGTCGTTACTGGAGGAAGGGGAGGAGAAGATGATGAGGATGCAGCCGGAGTTGTTGACGCACCGTTGCTTGCAGCAGCAGGAGCAGCAGGAGCTGCAGGTGGAGGTGGTGGAGGTGGTGGTGGCGCCATGGTATTAACAGCGGACGACCGCTGGGAGAGCATCATGTGCCAAGCATAGTGCGGCAGCCGGAGCATATTTTGCAGCATCATCACCTCATAGTCGGTATCTGGCACAAGCGGCTCTGTGCTTTCCCAGAGTTGTTGGAATTCGGCGTCGACAGATTCTTCAGCAGAGCGGATCCACACTTCTTCGCGGAATCGTTTGTGCTAAGGGGACATTTATGGTTTGAAGTTGTTCAGTTCCCACACCAAAACCTCACATCTCTCTCATCAAAAAGTTCTCTTTTACCCGTTCTCGGTCTTCCTCCATCCGTCGCATTATATCTTCTTTAGAAAACCCATCATCGCCTGCTGTCTGTGATGATCTAAGAACAAAAAGAATGCATTGTTCAGTTGCTTTTCCTCTCTTATCATCATCACTCAACACTTTCTTACTACTACTTACTCTGCTGCCGCCGCTTCTCGCTGTAATAATGGTTTCTCAACTACGTCAAGCACTTCAGTTTCGAAATAACGTCGTCGTCGCCAATTGTTCAAGATCTATAGATCACACACAAAAAAAAAAAAAGTTGAGTTCATTCTGAATTGCTCTCCAAGCCCCCTTCCGGCCTTCTTCTCTCCCTTGCATATAGCTTACCTTGCGTGTACTTCCAATATTGACATTGCCCTTTGCATCGTTGGGTACGACAGTTTCAATGATGCGCGGTAAGTCCTGCCGAGTGAGATCATGGTAGCCTTTGAATCCTGCCTTGTGACTGATGGCAAAGATGGCGTCAAGGACATATACAATATTAACCCGCGCGTTTATGGTCGCCTATTGCCAAACGTAGCAAATAGCAAAAGCAAAAAGTATAAAAGAAAAAAAAAGATAAAAAAAAAGAGACAGTATTATTATGGGATTGTGCTTTTCTTTATATCATAAACTTGGCTTGGGATTATAGTTGTGTTTATGCAATAAAAAAAGTAAAAAGATTTCATATTTTCCTCTGCCTCTTTCCTAAAGCCATGCCCCACCCCACCTCTGCACACGTCCGTATGGTTTTCTTTTGGGGGTGGGTGGGTAAAGACGCGTAAAAGCTGGTCTAAACCACCTTATCCCAATCTTTCCTTTTCCTTCTCCAAAACAATAGTGGTGGGTTCCTCTTCTGCGTTGGGAAAGGACGCAACGATCCTCTTTCTCTTTCGCATCGTAGGGAATGATGGTGGTTGGAGGGGTGGGGAGCCAGTGGATTGTTTGAGGGGGGAAGGTGTTTGGGAGTAATATATAACAAGTTTCGTCGGTTTGCACGGTGATTCCACGCAAGAAAAAGAAAACCGCAAATGTATATATATTACCTTGTCCAATTGTTCTAACAAGCAACTGTACAGATCTTCGGCGAGATTTCGATGTCGTACCGCATAGTTGGCTACCTTTTGGATCGACTGCTGCGACGCATTCAACTTTTCAAGTAGGGAAAGGAAATTTAAACGACATTCGAACGGATCATCCATTGAGTTGTGAAAGGTAAGGTGGCAAGTATTTTTAAAAAAAACACACAAAAGAAGTGTCGCACCCAATCAATGTTGCGAGCCTATGAAAATTAAATGTCACGTGTTCCAGAATTTTTGTTCGCCTTGTCAAGTCCATTTCTGAACAACGGTTGAGCATGCAAAAACTCTCCATTATTTCACAGTTTAGTACTGTTTAATAGAGCGCAAAGATGCGCAGAAAAATGTCGCGGATGAGGATGGTGGTCTAGAGAATATAGATTACACAGTTGCTCACTTGCATCACATACTGAGTTGTTCTTAACCTAACGTGGCGCAACCTATTGCAAGACCATCATCGCCTGGGCCAATAGATATTTGTATGTGTAATTGCTGGTTTATTCCATTAGCCGAGAGAGACTGATACAATTAGGGTGTTGAACAAGCTCCAGAAAATGCGCGACACTGTAATATTGGTTGTCATTGTTGGTATTATAATATTGTTATCGCATAGTAGGTGCGCTTGATGAAATTGAAGAGAGCTTGGTCTTGTCACACAAGCACTGTGCCAACAGTCCGTGAAACAAGAGTGCGGCGAATAAGTAGGCGGCAAACATGGGATGCATATTTGTAATCACTATATATATGCTAGGTGTACAGTACACTATTGTATATAGGCTTACTACTATAAAGATACGCGCTAGTACGAGAAAAGTGACTAACTTGTAACCTCGAGGAAGGGAAAGCTCTTGATAGTATGATACCCGCAAATCCTCAGATATGTGCCCATTTACGCGCATTGCCTTGAGCCAGCGGACGAATACCTCGCCGATAGCAAACGAGCTACAGTATACATAGCTTAAAGTTGGGTGTACACTGCAGCGAACGAGTAGTATTCGTCTTGAAGGAAATAGCTTGCTGCCCAGTTCAACCAATGTAGCACTGGCCGATACCGCCAAAAATGACATAGCGGTAGTAAACATTCCAAAAACTTCACGCTTTGTCATCGACATTGCGATATTGTGTGTTGACAATAAGGATGATGATGGAGTTGATATCAGTACAGTAAATGGGAGTCTTCGCCTTCGTCATCCACAACAGTTGTAATGGTTCTCATTTCTGTTTTGTTGGTATCTATCAATCGTCATCAAAACTCCTATGTACAGTTGAAAAGGATGAGAGAAAAAAGGGAGAATCAATAATTCCTGAGCAGGTAAGAAGCATATATATGATTTCTTTCTTTTGCAACCCACGAATACAAAAGCTCAAGTCATTGATGCACGATATTGTACGACTTAGATTCCTCATGACAACGTATATTTGCGGATGGTCGTCTCGTCATACGATGGTGTTAGATCAAATACATTACGTGACGGTGCTGAGGGAAGGAGTTGGGGGAAAGGACAGAGTATTGAAGTGGCATGTGAGAATCGAGGATAGTACAGTATCGGGAAATTATAATACAGCTACTAGATGGAGCTGAAGAAAGGCATTGACGGGCAATGCTAGCACGATAAAGAGCAGGCGACGTCGTTGACAGCGGTAATGAATTGCATGTCATGTCTAAGGGAGTGAAAAGAACGTGGTGGTTGTGCATAGTATGGTAGTACTGTAACAATCGGTGGTAGCAGTGGCAGGTATCGTAATTTCAGGCTGACTGACTTGTACTTTTTCGTCTTCATCAGCAAATCCGGAGCTGCAACTGGCTCATTTTATGCGTTTATTTCTGTAACGTCTCGAATTTTCGTAAAAGTTGCGTTCGCTTGTTTCTGCAGGACAGGTTGAGCAGCGGCCTCGTAATCAAGTGCGTCTCCAGCAGCCAAGCAGTAATTTGTAAGACGACGTGAAAGACAACGGCACGGGAGTGGATGATGATGGCGACACTGTCGACAGGTACGAGGAAAGATGGACATAGACATCACCAAAGACGAAGGAAACCGGCTACGAACCAGCTGGATGATGCTGGAAATGCCAAAGGTACACATAATGCCGCATGCTGCGAGCATGCACAGGGCGGCAGACGGAAGTAGAACGATGAGCGGGAACAGCAGTAGGAAATACAGCAAGGTCACAGACTGCGGTAGACATGGTGAGGGGCAGGATTTGTAGTAGTAATTAGGAAGTAAGGTAAAGTTAAAAAGAAAGCAACAAACTTCATCCATTTTATTTCACAAAAGAAAATCAAGTCTCTCGAACGCGTTGTCGTCTATATATACAAGTCAGTGGATGGGAAAAGTTCAATTGCTTTGGCTACAACAGTACAGCAAGTTTATGAGTAATCCTAAATTTGATGTATGATGTTTAGGAGGCACCTTTGTGGATGCGTGGTTCACGGATAGAAACTTGTGAACGGGGCTTGAGCACAAAAATGTCAATGACACTGTAAACCACAAAATCTGTCGGTTTCTATGCAGTGCGAAGCAGTGTGCCGCTGTAGAAAATATCAAGCCCCGTTGTGCATTAAGCACTGTGCCGTTGCACGGAGTAAAGCCCGTTATGAATTAGGCACTGTGCCGTTATGAAAAACACAAGGCCCGTTATGAATTAAGCAGTGTGCCGTTGTAAAGAAATTAAGCCCCGTTGTGAATTATGGCCTCATCCCAGTTTTTTAACGCTTCTCGAGCTGCTCGAAAAAACTCATCCTGTTTGACTGAACGTTTTGACATATCAAAGAGTATAATGTTTTCTTCCGTGCCTCGTCGAAGTAAGCGGGATGATATCGGTTGACCGTCGGCTGCCATGCTGCCAAGTGTCATTCTTGAATC